CGAGACCTACGGATCCTAGCGCGATTCTAATAGTGCAAGGATGCACTGTCGACCGTGCTATGTTACCCTAAGTTTCGTGGCAGATACGCTAGTTTTCGCCACTCTGCTCGTAATTTTTACCTACAACGGTACGATGAAGACGGTCCATGATAAGACAAGACCAATCGAGTTATGGCATCTTTGGCCACACCTCAGCGTGGCTAGTCTTAGAGATAACATTCAATCTGAAATCGTGCACCATACTCTTGCATACGCTCAAATCCTTGGCGATTTTCCTAGTGCTTACTCCCTTATGCAAAAGCGTGGGTCCAGGAAGAGTGCGAGAAGATCGCTGTAAAGGTTTGCACTAACCTCATAGATAACATGCATAGGAGGGTGCGGGTGGTGATCAAGGCCAAGTGTCGGTTGACTAGGTACTAGAAACGCTGCTCGGACGTTTGCTCTTTGTCCTGGGAAACAATTGTCCGGATGTACTCTTTGCATATCTTTTGGCACTAAGTTAGTTCTTGTGTACTATCATGGATTTTAGTGCTGTGAACTCATCCAGTATGTGCCCCTCCCAAAGCGTACCACCATTAAACATTAAGAGTTTATGTACAGTGGTTGAAAAGCCCAAAAACCCTAATTAATGCAAAACATCCGGACAATTGTTTCCGTCACTGTATGTGCTGTATGTCGATGACTCTAGTGTGACTGGTTCCTATTACTCTGTGTTGCCTAGTGTAGGTGTGCCCATTGTGTCTAGTTTCGGCTCCCCTGCTGCGTCAGGCGTAGGATCCCCTGCCTTGTTTAGCTTTGGGTCCTCCCTCGCTTCTCCGACCTCTGTCGCCGCTGCCGCGCTCTCCTTCACCCTGGACTCCGGGGCTTCCCGGTGTTTCTTTCGCGACTCCACCACACTTACACCGTTTCCTACTCTTGCTGCAATTGCTCGTGCAGATCCTTCCTCCGGTCCTGTAGTTGCCCGTAGCTCCACTACTCTCCCCTGTCCGGCGGTTCACTCGGGCTCCCTTACAGGTCTGCACATCCCCTCATTCTCTAGGAACCTAGTTGGTGTCGGCTGCCTCCAGGACCTTGGTGTCACCACTACGTTCCCTGGGCACGAGCGGTACGCTGTCTGTACTGAGGCCGCCACTGGTGCCCCCTCACCACGTTCCCCCGGGACCCGGTGTCTGGCCTGTTCACGCTGGACACCGCGTCCCCCTCCAGTTGGGACGCCCCCCAGGTAGCAGCGTCTTCCCAGGTTGCTGCCGCGTGCTCGTGTCAGTCGCTTACTCACCTGTCGCTTTTGTGGCACCATCGTCTAGGTCACCCCGCTCTCACCCATCTCCGTCACATGTCCCAGCACTGTCTTGTCCTAGGTCTCCTTGAGTCATTCACTGCGCTCCCCTCCTCACCCGCGCCTCCGTGCATGCCCTTATCGAGGGCCGGCTCCGCTGTGCCCCTCACTCCTCCTTGTTCCCCCCCACCTCCGCACCACTGCAGACCCTACACATGGACGTCTGGGGCCCCGCCCCCGTCCATGAGCTGCGTCGCGAGCGGTACTTCCTAGTGCTTGTCGACGACTACACACGCTACACCACTGTGTTTCCCCTGGAGCGGAAGGACGACGTGCCTGGCGTTCTTCTCCTGTGGCTTGTCTCATGGCGTGTTCACCGAGGTCTCCCTGTCTTGCGCCTTCACTCCAACCGTGGTGGCGAGTTCGCCTCTGGCTGCCTTGGTCGCTATTATCGTACGGAGGGCATCACCTAGATGTTCACCCTGCCAGACTCCCCGCAACAGAATGGGGTCGCTGAGCGACGCATCAGCTTGGTCATGGAGGTGGCTCGTACCTCTATGATCCATGCCGGTGCACCCCATTGTTTGAGGCCGTTCGCCGTTCGCTACGCCGCCCACCAGCTTAACATGTGGCCGCACCCTCTGCGGACGCAGGTTTCGTCGACCCTCTTCTAGACCGGGTCTCCTGGTGACGCGTCTTCGTTCCACGACTAGGGCTACCTTGCTCACGTTCGTGCCTCTGGCACGGACAAGCTCACTGCCCGCACGTCCACTGTGTCTTCTTAGGTTTAGGGACAAGCAGTTCTACCACCCGCCTTCTCACCGTTTCTTTCACTCTCGCGACATCACTTTTGATGAGTCCGTCTCCTTCTATAACCGCTTTCCCCACCGTGGTCCCCCGGTCACTCCCCCCCAGTTCCTGGTTCCCCCCCCTCCCCTGGTCGCCCCTGTTCCCCCCCTCCCCGCCCTGCCCCGTCTGGTGTGTCTCACGTCACCCCCATCCTGTCGGTTGTCCCTGCCGATGAGTCTGCTGACTCTCGTGGCTCGGCGGACTCTCTTCCCCCATCTGTCCCCGCCCTGGTTTCCCCTCCTCTGTCGTCGCCGTTGCTGTCCCAACCGCAGCCGCCTCCGCCACTACCGTCGCAGTCGCAGCTACGGCCGACGTCGTCACCGCCGCTGGGGTTCGTGTGTTCTGGGGTTGCTGGGGAGCTGGCTGGAGCTGGTTTTGGAGCGGGCTATGGGGGTGCTGGCGTGGGGCTTCTCGGAGGGAGCCGTGTTATCGCTGGAGGTTCTGGAATTGGGGTCGGGCAGCAGTCGCAGCCGTCGCCGCCGGTGTCCGCTCTTCGCCTCCTCGGTCTTCCATCCCCTGATCACTTGTCAGTGCCTCCCCCGTCTCAGTGTTTCCTCCCACGTTCTCCTCCTCTGTCTCCTCCCCTCTCTCCGTTCCCGACCCCTCCGTCTCACGTCTGGTCTCATCGTCCCTCTCGTGCTCGTCCTACCTCCCCTGTTCCGCGTTCTCACCCTATGTTGCTTCGCTCTCACGCATCTGGTGCTCCTCCTCTCCTCCCGTCTCCTCCTCCGTCGTCACTTGCTGTGGTCCCGCCTCCGTTCTCTGACTTCCTCCGTGCTGCGCGTCCTCTTGTTCCTTGTGTCATTGCCTCTCTCGTTACCGACCTGTCCATTCCTGGCTCGAGTCTGTCGGCTCTTGTTGCTGCTGTCACTGACCTCGCCAATACCCGCCGCCTGGACTACGCTACCGCTCTGGTCTCTGACCCTGCCTACCCTCCGACCGTCGGGGGTGTAACTGCTCTTGGCAGTGACGTCCTAGAGGACAGGAAGTTCGAGCTCGCTTTCCTGTCTGAGGCCGCTCCCCATCTCTGTTCCATGCTTCTAGTCCTTGAGGTTGACCCAGACGCCCTTGACATCCCGACCCCTCGTATCTACGCTGAGGCCACCTCGGGACCCTGGGCCTCTCAGTGGATAGCTGCCATGGAGTAGGAGATGGCATCTTGGAGATCCATCGGTACCTTCGTCGATGCAGTTCCCCCACCTGGGGTGAATGTAGTTGATGGCCGGTGGCTCTTCAAGGTGAAGCGCCCTCCTGGAGAACCGCTTGTCTTTAAGGCGCGCTACGTTGCTCGAGGCTTCATTCAGCGTGAGGGGGTGGACTTCTTTCAGGCCTTCGTCTCGACCACGAAGATGACTACCCTTCGGGCATTACTACACGTAGCAGCACAGCGTGACTATGAGCTGCACTCCCTCGACTTCTCCACAGCTTTCCTCCAGGGCAGTCTACACAAGCAGGTCTACCTGCGCCGCCCCCAGGGCTTCTCCGGTACCTTTCCCCCTTGCACCGACTGGCTCCTCCGGCGCCCCGTGAGTGGCACGACACGCATCGTGCTACACTTGCTGACTTGCAGTTTTTCCCTTCGTCTGCAGACCACTTGCTCTTCGTTTGTTCCGGCCAGACTCCATTCTACATCCTTGTCTACGTAGACGACCTGGTCTTTGCTACTGGAGACAGAGACGCGCTGGCCTCCGTGAAGGCCGAGCTTCTGAGGAGACACACCTGCACTGACCCAGGAGAGCTGCGCCGCTACCTTGCTTGCAGATCTCCAGTGACAGAGCAGCGCGCACCATCACTCTCACACAGTCAGACTTGGTGCGCCAGGTCCTTCAGAGGTTCGGCCTTCAGTTCTCTTTCGCACTGCCCACCCCTCTAACAGTAGATGACAGTCTAGGGGGTGTGTAAAATATATATTGTATATTGTTATAGACTACATAGGGTTATGCCTTAGGGAGTACAACCCATTAGACTATATTCCCTTGTATGTCAGTATTCTAGTAATTTTTTCACTTCAACAAAATCTGCCCAAAATGGGCGGGGGTTACGTCGACTGACCATTCGTAGAAATGTTTACCAGCAGTCACTGACTAACCGTGGAACCTGACTGACTAGCCGTGTGACAAACTCACTAATTCCGAGGGTTTTTAGCATTCTAATGACTGTACGTAATAGCGGTAACCCTAATACTGAGCGCGGATGTACTTTCCCTATAATATACACCAAATAAGTAGCCTTCCACTTGAATTTTTTGAAACCTGTGAACTTAATAGCCCTTATCGATTACTGATGATCATATGAATTTGTTTTTTATAATGTTATCTTTTGGCTCTATGAACTGCTTAGTAAATATTTTCATCTACACCCTTGGGCGCTTGGTGAAATTTAAATGCAAGGAGCAACGTTTGTGAGATGGTGTAGCTTGTAATACTTTCAGTCACCACCTCTCAAAAGTTTGTGAGCAGTTGAGCTGGTTGATGTGTGGCGGCAGATGCATCTCTGCCAATCGCAACGATAAGAACTGCCGCGTGGTATCCGAGGTGGAAGGCTGTCGAAGAGTCGATGACTGTTCCCTGACGTGGACATGTGTGGCGGTTACCATTTCTGTTCCTTTTTCCATCCACCCTTGATCCTGTCGCGATCTGCCCCGCATCACATTCTGCGTGAACTGTATCCATTTGCCTTCCGCGCGCAAGCGCAGTTCAACTCCCTTCCACCCCGCACACACCCGCGCACATGTGAAGCCCTCCTCTAGGGGCCTTCCCCCAATGTTTTGGGGGGAAGCTGATCAGCAGGACCAGGGGGGAGGATCAAGCCCACGACGACACGACCCAGGAATCTCCGCGCAGGGGAATCTGGTCACAGAGAAATTGACAATGACACTTTCAGCAGGCACCTCCTAGATATTGGTTCTTTCTTACTGGAGTGAAGGAGACAGGAACTAGGGGAGTGCAACAGCAATTTGGATTCACTCAGATTCACTCAGCTCCAGCAGCACCCTCCTTACTTCCGCCTTGGTGACCGTCAACCTGCTGTAGAGGTTGCTTTAGAACGCAAGTTTTGCCTTTCGCCATCCTTGGTGATACTCTCGTGCAGTCGTCGCCATGGCGTGCACTAGCGGGATGTCGCTGAGAGCTATGGAGAAGTCACTCATTGCGTCTAACGGCTTCCTCCGCTCTTCAGGTGCGAGCGGGAGGCGTTATGCGCGTGTCGCTTATCTTGGTGTTTTTTACTAGATGTTATGTGCGATTGAAGAGCCCTGAAGGTAGTTGACATGGACCTTAGACTAGGTAATCAGAATCGCACGCGGTAATCAGCTGGCAGTTCCAGACGCTTCTTATGACTGACGTAGGACAAGGGACGATGTATGTAACGCAGGTCGACGACTTCAGTCACGATCAACGCATTGATTTGAGCAGGAATGCAGGATTTTGGGGTTTGACCTCCGCTTATGTGCGCTCCTCTTGTGCATCTCACTGGCCAAGGCGGTGGTTGACTGAAGGGAGGAGATTACCGAAAGGGGGAGTTTGAAGAGGAAAGGATAGAGGCTGGCGTGTATATGGCTTGGCGACTTGCGGTGCCTTGACCAGCTCTGCATCCTGCTACCTTGGTCTTTCTGTCCTTCTACTATGCTCCGCCCTGATTTCTCTCGTACGCTTCTTCGTGTCCTGGTGCTCTCAGCAGGTACCGTCTCTCATCGCCTTGTGACCCCAGCGCCGTTGCCGCGCCACCGGGTTTCTCGGCTTGTGACAGAGGCGAGGGTGCGCGAGATTTTCATGCCGGCTCTCAGCTCCACCATGACGGAGGGGAAGATCGTCGCATGGTCCAAGAGGTATGTCAGAAGGACGACTATTCAGAGGTGATTGGGAAAGAGATCTTCACGCCTGCTCTCAGCTCCACGATGACCGAGGGCAAGATAGTCGCGTGGTCCAAGTGGTCAGTAGGAAGAGCGACTATTTAGAGGTGATTGGGAGAGTGATCTCCATGCCCGATCTCAGCTCCAGTATAGCCGAGGGGAAGATCGTCGCGTGGTCCTAAAGATATATGAATCGGATTGAAAGTCGTCCGTACGTACTCGGTAACGCTTCTGTGCCGTCAGCTATCGCTACCGGATTACTCGTTACTCTCTGTACGCGTTTGTATCCCTCTACCTAACCTCCCCTGTCCGCTCAACGTCACATCGAGGGCGTGACCGTGAGCAAGGGCGAGTCGGTGGTGGGGGTGGATTTGGACAAGGCGGATTGCCGCACTAGGCTAATTTTCCACTCACGCTCCCTGCCCTCCCATCCTCCCCCTCTCCCCCTCATCCCCCCACCCCCGCCCCACACACACACCGGAGTCGGTGGTGGTGATGGAGTCGGACAAGGCGGAGATGGACGGTCTAGGCCCATCCCCTCCCCTTCCATCTGCCCCGCCCCCCCAACCTTTCGTTCACATGGCAGCGAGGGCGAGGCCGTAAGCAAGGGCGACTCGTTGTGGTGGTGGTGGAGTCGGACAAGGCGGATTGACGGGCTAGGCTCATCTCTCCCCTTTTCAACTCTTCCCCTCCAAACGTTCCATTTCCTCCCGTCACAGCGAGGGCGAGACCGTGAGCAAGGGCGAGTCGGTGGTGGTGGTGGTGGTGGTGGTGGTGGTGATGGTGGTGAGTCGGTGAAGGCGGACACGAACGGTCCAGATAGACTCATTCCCTCCCTTCCATTCTGTTCCCCCTCTTCCTTTCTCGTTGCAGCGAGGGCGAGACTGTGAGCAAGGGCGAGTCGGTGGTGGTGGTGGAGTCGGACAAGGCGGACATGGACGTGGAGACGTTCTACGACGGCATCATCGCCACCATTCTCGTGGGGGAAGGCGAGGTGAGCCACAGTGAGAAAGGGGGAGGTACAGTTAGGGGGGGTCAGGGGGTTGTGAGGGAACAAGGCGGGCATGGACGTGGAGACGTTCTACAACGGCATCATTGCCACGATTTTTGTCGGGAAAGCTTGTAGTTCGTATCACGGAGCGCTGTTTTTTGCTCCTCTCGCATCACCGAGCTGTCAATGTCCCTTCCCCCCCAGCATGGACCAGCTTTTCCCTTTCAACCCCATCAGGTGGCTCCTGTGGTGCGGCCATTGCCATCCTGAAAAAGAGCGAGGACGAACTGGAGGACGCCAAGAAGATAGCGGCCGAGAAACATGTCAAATCACCACCCAAGCACCCACCAAAACACCCGACAAAGCACCCACCATCGTGAAAGCACCCTCCCTTGTTTCCCTCCACCAGGTGCCCCCTGTGGGTGAGGCCATTGCCATCCTGGCAGAGAGAGAGAGGACGACCTTGAGGATGCCAAGATGAAGGTCGCCATGGCCATGCCCTAAGGCGCCTCAAGATGCCTCAAGACGCAAGGCGCAAAACACCAGGGCGGCTCAACTCAACACATACGCCCCAAACACTCACCTGATCCACCTCCCCCCCTCACCTTTCCGTCAGGTGGCCCCTGTGGGTGCAGCCATCGCCATCCTGGCTGAGAGCGAGGACGACCTGGAAGACGCCAAGAAGAAGGCCGCCAAGCTCGCTGGTTCTGACGGCGCTGCTGCTGCTGCTCCCGCTGCTCCTGAGCCCGCTGCTCCTGCCCCTGCTGCCGCTGCCCCTCCTCCCCCGCCCCCTGCGCCCGCGGCGCCTGCTACCCCTGGGAAGGTTGTTGCGACTCCTGAGGCGAAGAAGCTGGCAAAGAAACACAAGGTACGAGGCAGGAGTTCAGGAGCCTGAGAACTAAACAGGTGAAAGGGCCCCACACCATTTGCCAGCTTTCCCATGTCCAGCTTTCTGACCCCAAAGTCGCCTTCACATCACCTGGACCCACCCATTTGTTCTCTCCTCCTCTGCCTCCCAACTCCCTCTTTCTCCCTCCCCGTTTCGTCCTCCTCTTCCTTCCTCTGCCGGTCTATCTCCGCAGCTAGTAGCCTTGGTCCCTACGGCCTAATCTCTTGCTGAACGTGATGAGAGCACCAGGCATTGCATTGCCTTCATTTTAACGGCCCACTTATGCCCTCCTCCTCTGCTTCCAGTCCCTACCTTCCTCCGCTCTTCTCTTCCCTGTTGCCATCCCTTTGCAGGTTGATCTCGCCAAGATAGCCAGCTCAGGCCCCTATGGCCAAGTCACCCCTGATTGTCGACGTCAAGAAAGTAGCAGGCATCCTTCCCGCCCAATCCCAGACGACCGCTCCTCTCTGCAGGTTGATCTTGCCAAGATAGCAGGCCTGGGCCCTTACGGCCGGTTCACCCCAGACGACGTCAAGAAAGCAGCCGGCATCGCAACCGCCCCTGAGGCTTGAGGGGCCTGACGTATTTGCATATTTCCCCTTTGACCGCTCTCGTCTGCAGGTTGATCTCGCCAAGATTGCCGGCTCAGGTCCCTATGGCCGGGTCACCCCCGAAGACGTCAAGAAGGCAGCCGGCATCGCAACCACCCCTGCCCCCACCATCGCCCCACCTGCTGCTGCTGCCGCCCCTGCCCCTGCTGCTCGTGCTGCTGCTCCTGCAGCAGCAGCAGCGGTGCCGCTGCCAGCGGGGGCGTCGGTGGTGGCGTTCACAGCCATGCAGGGGGCAGTGGCGCGCAACATGGAGGCCACGCTCGCCGTGCCCACCTTCCGCGTTGGCTACACGGTTACCACTGACGCCCTTGACGCTCTCTACAAGAGGGTGAGTTCCACTACTCCTGGGGCTAGTGTTGGGGTGCGTTGTGGATGGTGTTTGTGCTCCTGGTCCTGCTGTTCCTGCAGCAGCAGCACCGCTGCCAGTGGGTGCGTCAGTGGTGGCGTTCACAGCCATGCAGGGGGCAGTGGCGTGCAACATGGAGGCCACGCTCGCCGTGCCCACCTTCCGCGTTGGCTACACGGTTACCACTGACGCCCTTGACGCTCTCTACAAGAGGGTGAGTGCCACTACTCCTGGGGCTAGTGTTGGGGTGTGTTGTGGATGGTGTTCGTGCTCCTGGTCCTGCTGTTCCTGCAGCAGCAGCACCGCTGCCAGTGGGTGCGTCAGTGGTGGCGTTCACAGCCATGCAGGGGGCAGTGGCGCGCAACATGGAGGCCACGGATGTGCCCACCTTCCGCGTCAGCTACACGGTTACCACCGACGCTCTCGACGCACTCGACAAGAGGGTGAGTGTGTGGTTTTGGTTTGTGTTGATGCTGCTCCTGCTGCTGCTGATCTCTCTCGTTCTCCCTCAATTCCTTAGGTGAAGGGCAGGGGAGTGACGACGGCAGGGCTACCCCCCCCCAAGACAATGTGAGAGAGGGGAGCAGGACTAAAAAAGTGACGATGACTGCTCTCCTGGCCAAGGCAGTGGGCATTGCTCTAGAGGCGCACCCCACTGTGAATGGGGCCTGCAAGGACGGCAAGAGCTTCCACTGGCGAAAAAACACGCGTCCTGTCCCCTCTCACCTCCTTCCTCTCTGTTCCTCTCCCATCACTGCAGGTGAAGGGTAAGGGAGTGACGATGACTGCTCTGCTCGCCAAGGCAGTGGGCTTGGCGCTGGCGAGGCACCCCATAGTGAACGCGGCGTGCAAGGACGGCAAGAGCTTCCATTATAACGCGAGTGTGAATGTGGCGGTGGCTGTTGCCATGGACGGCGGGCTCATCACCCCGGTGCTGAAGAACGCTGACCAGGTACTTGGGATAGTAGGATAGTGATAGTTTCGCTCATGCATGGATGGAGCTCATGCATCTATCCCCATCCACACCACCTCCATCTACATTTATCCACATCCATCTGCCTCCGATTTGCTTCTTGGCTCCCCTCCCTCGTGCGCGTGTGCGCCCACACACACAGACCTGCACCCGTGCGCGCGCGCGCGCGCACACACACACACACACACACGCATGCACACGCACACACACAAACACGCACATGCACACACACACACACACACACACACACACACACACACACACACACACACACACACACACACACACACACACACACGCACACACACACACATTCACATCCTGTAACCACACCTTTACACTATGTCAGCTCAAAGAAGGGCTTTCACATCCGTTCAAGGCCTGCCGTGCTTATCCCATTGCCTCACTGGTCCATGCATGTAGCTGCAGGAGAATCCACCCTATACTCTCTGCTCCATCCCCCACTCCCTCCCTCACAGACTGACCTGTTCACGATGTCGGGGCAATGGAAGGAGCTGGTGGGCAAGGCGAGGAGAAAGTCATTAATGCCACACACCCTTCCCTCTCCTCAACCCCCTCCTCTCACCTCCCTCCTGTTTCCCCCTTCCCCAGACTGACCTGTTCACGATGTCAGGGCAGTGGAAGGAGCTGGTGAGGAAGGCCAGGAGAAAGCCACTTATCCCACCCACCCTCTTCCCCCCCTCTGCTTATATCTCCCTACCCCAGACTGACCTGTTCATGATGTCAGGGCAATGGAAGGAGCTAGCAGGCAAGGCACGGAGAATGTCACTTATCCCACACACCCTCTTCCCCCCCTCCCTTATATCTCCCTACCCCAGACTGACCTGTTCACGATGTCGGGGCAATGGAAGGAGCTGGTGGGCAAGGCGAGGAGAAAGGCACTGAGCCCCAGCGACTACACTGGAGGTGAGGGGGGGAGAAAAGTTAAGTTGAAGGGGCTGGAGTGGAGATGGATAAGAAACGAGTGCCAGGGGTGGGTGGTGGAGAGGTGAATGATTGAGATGATTGTGGGGAGCGATAAGCTGTTCATGGGGAGGTGAGGCGGAAGCTATTGGAGTTTTTTATTACTAGGAGAAGTCTAGCTTCTCACTTGGGCAATCCACAACTCATGAATTGCAGCAACTGCCTGCTTAGAAGCATGCTTGTGCTAGTTCCTCCTCTCGTGCTCACAGCCAATTGTGCGCTTGTCTTCCCCCTCCCTCCATAGACCTTCACTCCAGAGACCTCCCCTTCCTCCAGAGACCTCCCCTCCCTCCAGAGACCTCCCCTCCCTCCAGAGACCTTCACTCTCTCTTTTGCTCAAGGACTCGCCTTCCTCACCCCTCCGTGTGCCTCTCCTTCCAGGAACCTTCACCCTTTCCAATCTGGGCATGTTTGGAGTGGACCGGTTTGATGCCATCCTACCCATCGGCCAGGTGAGGGGTGTGTGAACTAGTTTTGAGATGTCTCACAACTAACCTACTTTTGAAGTGAATCATGTGTGGGTGGGGGTGCGAACTCTGAGTGTGTGTTGGGGGAGTGTGCTGTTGCTTTATTTCAGACTTTGAACATATAAAGTACCTTTCGTAATCAGCTGATAGTGTCTCTTGCACAAATTTTCCACAACAACCATTGATATGGGTGCGCTCGCAGGGTGCGATCATGGCCGTCGGATCGTCCATCCCAACGATGGTGGCAGCAGAGGACGGCAGCTTCGGCATCAAGAGGCAGATGCAGGTCAGTGGCAGGGACAGACATTGGTTTTGAGGCACCCTTAGGAATCAGGGTATTCTTATGATTTCACCCTGATTTGTAAGGGTGCTAGGGGCAAATTTGGCTTCAAATAGATTTTTTACCCTTACAAAATCAGGGTATACTCCAAATAGTGGCTGCTGTGCTGGCAAGGGTAATCAGGGTGAAATACCCTTCAAACCCTATCCCTGGTCAGTGGGCAGCAAAGAGTGGGGCAGCAGGTCAGTGGCCCCCCTGTTTCTCCCTTCCCTCCCTCCAATCCTCTTCCTCCCTCTGCAACCGTCTATAGTCCGCTTGCAAGCGCCAGCTGCTTTCCTGACGTCCATGGACCATCACCGATACACCTGTTCCATGGGTCCCTGATCCTGTTCTCCTGTTCCCTCCCCTGGCCCCTGTCACTTCTGACTTGTTCCTTTCCATCAACTTCACTGTTTGTTGCCATTTGTTTATGGTGTTTATGGTCTCCCTCCCTCCTTGGTTCCCTGTCCCTCTTTTGCATGGCTCAGATCAATGTCACGGCAGACCACCGCATCATCTATGGCGCTGACCTGGCAGAGTTCCTCCAAACTTTTGCTAAGATTGTGGAGGATCCTGAGCAGCTTACCCTGTAGTGAGGAAGACAGTTTAGACGAGTGTTATTCCTATTTTCTTGAATGTGGTAGCAATTAGGGAGAGATAATCTTGTACCGTATGCGAGGGAACACCAGCAGCATGCCAGGACTAATTCTGGCAATTTTGAAGCTGATGATGATGACACCATGACCATATGCTAGCAGCCAAGATCACATTTCTATCTAGCCACTAGGTTGAGTCTTGTACATCACTATTTGTTGCCGGTCTGTTCCTACAGTTCTACTGTCTCTTACGGTAACATTGTAAAGAAGGGCAAAGTGGAAATAAAGAGGTTCATGTTGAAGAAGCTAGGTAGCTAGGGTAGCCATATAAATGGCGTGAGGTTTTGGGTGGAAGGAAAAATATCGAGAGAGGAGGTTTGTGTCAAACATTAGTACATCTGATGTTTGTATAGACTGTATAGGGTCACCTCTTAGAGAGTAAAACCCTTAGATATGTATGCTTGTACACAGGTTCTCTATTCATTACTCAGTTTTAAGATGGTATCAGCAGTAGGTAGGTCCCGCCGCCCGCCCATGCTTCCGCCCTAAGCCCTAGCCGCCCCCGCGCCCGTCCTAGTCGACCCCGCACCCGTCCTAGCCGCGCCCGCGCGCCCGTCCTAGCTGCGCCCGCCGCGCCCGTCCTAGCTGGCCCCCGCGCCCGTCCTCACGGCCCTCGCGCCCGTCCTAGCTGGCCCCGCGCCCGTCCTAACGGCCCGCGCGCCCATCCTAGCCGGCCCCGCGCCCGTCCTAGCTGGCCCCGCGCCCGTCCTAGCTGGCCCCGCGCCCGTCCTCACGGCTCCCGCGCCCGTCCTAGTCGGCCCCGCGCCCGTCCTAGTGGCCCCCGCGCCCGTCCTTACCGGCCCCCGCGCCCGTCCTAGCGGCCCCCGCGCCCGTCCTAGCGGCCCCCGCGCCCTTCCTTACCGGCCCCGCGCCCGTCCTAGCGGCCCCCGCGCCCGTCCTAGTGGCCCCCGCGCCCGTCCTACCGGCCCCCGCGCCCGTCCTACCGGCCCCCGCGCCCGTCCTACCGCCCCCCGCGCCCATCCTTACCGGCCCCGCGCCCGTCCTAGCGGCCCCCGCGCCCGTCCTACCGGCCCCCGCGCCCGTCCTAGCCGGCCCCGCGCCCGTCCTAGCGGCCCCCGCGCCCGTCCTAGCGGTCCCCGCGCCCGTCCTACCGGCCCCCGCGCCCGTCCTAGCCGGCCCTGCGGCCGTCCTAGCGGCCCCCGCGCCCGTCCTACCGGCTCCTGCGCCTGTCCTAGCCGGCCCCCGCGCTCGTCCTAGCTGGCCCCCGCGCCCGTCCTACAGGCCCCCGCGCCCGTCCTAGCTGGCCCCGCGCTAGTCCCAGGCCTGTCCTAGCCGGCCCTGCGCCCGTCCCAGGCCCATCCTAGCCGGCCCCGCGCCCGTCCTACCTCGCCCCCGCGCCCGTCCTCGCCGGCCCGGCGCCCGCCGCTACTGGCCCCCGCGCCCGTTCTGCCGACCCCTGCGCGCGCCCTGCCCGTCGATCTCCGGCCCCGTGCTCACCTTCCCGCCGGACTGCCGCCGATCTGCGTGCGGCCCGCTCTTCGTGCCTGCTACTGCACTGCACCCTCCCTGGTACGGTTCTCCATCACCTTGCACTACACTGCACCCCCCTGCACCGCACGGCACCGCGCTGCACCGCACTGTACCGCCCTGCACTGCACTGTACCGCGCTGCACTGCCTCACCTGGCCCTGCCCTGCACTGTTCCTGATGGCGGCGGAGCTTCGCTGCGACGCTGAAGGCCAGCCTCTGGAGTTCGAGGCCTGGCTAGCCGACCTCCGCCGCCACCTCACTGGTCAGCGGCAGGATGGCCACCCGCTCTCGGCACACCTTGACGGTACGCTTCCCTGCCCAGACCCCCTTGATGTGCTGCCCGCTGTCCCCACACCTACTGAGCACGAGTCTACTGCGGCCGCTGCCCTCGCTCGCTCTGTCTGGCTTTCCCGTGACGCTGTCTCCCAGCTTGCCATTAGCAATGCCCTCCCCTCGTCTAAGCGTCCTCGCTTTAGGTCTATCACCACCGCCCAGGCTTTCTTAGATGCTGTTATCCGGCGCTATTCCGCCCCGCCTGCTGCCTCGGTGGGTCGCCTGATCCTACCGATGCTCTTTCCTGACCTTGCATCTTTCCCCACTGTAGCTGACCTGGCTGCCCACCTGCGCACGATAGATGAGACCTGACGCGCTGCCTGCACTGACGCACAGCTTATAGCCCACCAGCCGCCCCTTACCTCTACCCTCTACCTGCTTGCCACCCGCCTCCCTGACCGCCTTGCCGCTGCTCGTGACCGCTTCCTTAGCATTCACCCCGGTGACCTCACCCTCACAGACTTTGTAGACACCCTGACTGTTATTGAGACCCGCCACCGCTCTATCGCCCAGGCGAGCGGTACTGTGCCGGTCCCTATCTTTCAGGGTTGTGCCCCCGCTCAGTGCACCTTCTCCGATGGTTCTACAGCTGTGGCTGAGACCGCCGCTGCAGCGCAGTTCCGTCCGGGGAAGGGCCGCCGCCCCAAGGCTGGGCGCGGCGGAGGAGGTGGTGGAGCGGACGAGGGGACCCTGCCAGGTTCAGCTGAGCAGCCGCCCCAGCAGCCGCAGCAGCCGCAGCAGCCGCCGCAGACAAGGCAGGCGAGTGCCCTCCCGCCGGGTGGCCTGGCGCTGGTGGTGGTCGTGCGAGTGGTGGTGTGCCGGGTGGCGGTTCGGGAGGCGTGCGCTGTCAGTACCAGATCCAGACCGGTCCTCACCGCGGCTTCGTTTGCGGTAAGATCGGTCACGCCACTGCCCGCTGTTTTCGTGGCCTGGACCACCTGTTTCGTCAGCGCTTCGGCCCGTCGCCCGACCTCCCGGACTGGCACAGCCTGCTTAGTCGTAGAGTTCAGATTTTTGACATGGACATGGATGCCATTGTTTCTGCCCTGCATGTGATGTATGCTGATGACTCTAGTGTGCTCCCCTCTTATTATTCTTGTCGCCTAGTGTAGGTGTGCCTAGCTTAGCCTCCCCTGCTGCGTCAGGCGTAGGAGCTCCTGCTTTGTTTAGCCTAGGTGCTTCCGCCGTCGCCCCGTCGCCAAACGCCACTGCTTCGCTTTCCTTCACATTGGACCCTGGCGCTTCCCGATGTTTCTTCCGCGACTCTACTACGCTGACGCCGCTTCCTGTTCCTGCTGTAGTTTCTCTTGCTGACCCCTCCGGCAGTCCGGTCGTCGCTCGCAGTTCCACCACGCTTCCCTGTCCGGCGGTTCCTTCGGGCTCTCTCACAGGTCTGCATATCCCCTCGTTCTCCAGGAACCTAGTTGGTGTCGGCTGCCTCCAGGACCTTGGCGTCACCACTACGTTCCCTGGTCACGAGCGGTATGCTGTCTGTACCGAGGCCGCCACTGGTGCCCCCCTGTCCACGTTCCCCCGGGACCCGGTGTCCGGCCTCTTCACCTTGGACACCGTGACCCCCCCGGCTGGGGCGCTCCTTCAGGTGGCTGCGTCTACCCAGGTTGCTACTGCCTGCTCCTGTCGGTCCCTCACTCACCCGACTCTCCTTTGGCACCACCGCCTAGGTCACCCTGCGCTCCCGCGTCTGCGTCACATGTCCCAGCACGGTCTCGTCCTTGGTCTCCCTGGTTCTCTCCCCGCTTTTCCCTCCTCCCCCGCCCTCCCTTGCACGCCTTGTGTCGAGGGTCGGCTTCGCCGTGCCCCTCACTCCTCCTCGATTCCCCCTACCGCCGCGCCGCTGCAGACCCTGCACATGGACGTCTGGGGCCCCGCCCCCGTCCATGGGCCGCGTCGAGAGCGCTACTTCCTGGTGCTTGTCGACGACTTCACTCGCTACACTACAGTCTTTCCCCTGGAGCGCAAGGCCGACGTGCCTGCCGCTCTCATCCCCTGGCTTGTCTCTGCCCGTGTCCACCGAGGTCTCCCTGTCTTGCGTCTTCACTCCGACCGTGGTGGCGAGTTTGCCTCAGGTGTCCTTGGTCGCTTCTGTCGTGCAAAGGGCATCACCCAGACGTTCACCCTGCCGGACTCCCCACAGCAGAATGGGGTCGATGAGCGACGCATCGGTTTGGTCATGGAGGTGGCTCGCACCTCCATGATCCATGCCGGTGCACCCCATTTTTTGTGGCCGTTCGCCATGCACTACGCTGCGCACCAGCTTAACCTGTGGCCGCACCCCCAGCGGCCGCAGGTTTCGCCGACCCTTCTTTGGACCGGGTCTCCTAGTGACGCATCTGCGTTCCACGTCTGGGGCTGCCTTGCTCACGTTCGTGCCTCTGGCACGGACAAGCTCACTGCTCGCACCCTTCCCTGCGTCTTCCTAGGTTTCCCCCTTGACGCGTCCGACTGGCACTTCCACCACTCGCCGTCTCACCGGTTCTTTCACTCTCGCGACGTCACCTTTGACGAGTCCATCTCCTTCTACCGTCGCTTCCCCCACCGCGGTCCCCCGGTTACTCCCCCTCTGTTCCTGGTCACTCCTTCCCAGGTGGTCCCTGCCCCCCCCCTCCCCCTCCCCGTCCTGCCCCCTCTGGTGTGTCCCACATCACCCCTCTCCCGTCGGTTGTCCCGGTCGAGGAGTCCTCTGACTCCGGTGGTCCTGCGGCGCAGTCCTCGCCGTCTGCCCCTCCCCCGGTGTCTCCTCCCCCACAGCCTCTGCAGCCGTCGTCTCCGCTGCCGTCGCCGCCGCACCCGTCGTTCCCGCCGCTGCCGCCACCGTCGCAGCAGCAGTTCGTCGACTCTGGGGGTGCCCGCATTGGGGTTTCGGGCTCTGGGGGTGTTCCTTCTGGGGGTGCTGGAGTGGAGTGTCCCGGAGGTAGCCGAGGAGCAGCTTGCGGTCCCGGTATTGGAGTTGTGCGGCCGCAGCAGCAGTCCCCGCCGGTATCAGCCCTACGCCTGCTCGGCCTTCCGTCCCCTGACCCTGCGTTTGTTCCTCTCCTGCCTTCTCCTCCTCTCCCTGTCTACGGCCCTGTGTTCCCTCCGCCGGACTCATCCCCGGCTCGTCTTCCCCCTCGCTCCCCCCTTGTGTCCCCTCCTCTGTCTCCTGACCCGACGCCTCCGTCTCATGTCTGGTCCCGCCGTCCCTCCCGTGCTCGTCCTGTCTCCCCTATTTCTCGCTCTCACCGTATGTTGCTCCGTTCCCACGCGTCTCGTCCTCCCCTTCTACCGTCGCCTCCTCCATCCTCTCTTACAGTTGCGCCTCCTCCTTTGTCTGACTACCTTCGTGCCGCTCGTCCTC